GCGGCGGTCTTGCAGCCACCGAGTCCCTTGTCCACTTTTTGCTTTTTATTTTTGTGACCACACTAGCAAAAAAATGTACCAATAAAAGCGGCAAGATGTGTTCATAGATTGCCACCTCATTTTCTCGACTGCCAACTCATCACTCCGGCGGGCAAGTTTAACCAAAGGAATAATGACGACGTTCTTTAAAAAGTACAAGGACCATTTCCAAAAAGCAAACTAATTAATATAATAAAAAACTCCAAATTGATATATATTTATGACAAATTTACTCCAAATTAATTTTTTGACCATAAAAAATTCCAAACCGGTATACCTGTTACAAATTTATCCTTCGTTAAAATGGATCAATACAAAAAAAAACCATAAACTCATATATTTGTGACAAATGGAGGATAAAACCCGAAACCGGTACATCCGTCAACCGTCATGTGCCATTTAACTCAGTAATTTGACAGTAAAATTTAACGGAAACTAATGGAAGGTAAATTTGTTATAGGTATACTAGTTTGGGATTTTTGGTAATTAAAAAGTTAGTTTGGGGTAAGACAATGTGTATCGGTTTGGGGTTTTTCGTGGTATTAACCAAAAAAAAAAATAGAGGGATAATTTTGAATTTTGGGTAAAATTAGGTGGACTACTTGTGCCATTTCACCAAATTATAAATAGGGTGGTTTTGATGTTGCCACAAGCCTAAAAATGAAAGTAGATCATTGTATAATTTGGACCATCATATTGTAAATAAATAATAAAAATTGTGGGATTAAATAAAATAAAATGAATGACTGAACGGCTCACGTTGAATTGCTTAGTTGCGACCCACCTCGTGTCGGGAGGCTTTCTGATTGCTAGCATTTTGGTGGTGTTGTGGTGACAAACTCGCCACCCTCACACCTATGAGTTACATGTGGTGTAAAGTATCTATGACTACAAAATAGATATTCCGTAATGGGAGTGTGACCCTTATGACAATGCCTAGAGAGAATCGTTAATGATGGTCGCCTCTCCCACCCTTTTTTTCAATGGAATAAAAAATTACTAAGTTGGTTTATATCTTGTCTCGGAAAAGGTTCAAACACCAAAATGTTAGAAACTTACCTTTTGATAATAAGAGCAAATTGCAAGACCTACGTTATACACACAAAAAAAAGATAATTTTTTTGGCCCCCCAAGACCCATATCAATAACATGTAATTTTTCCAAAGCTGATGAATCTTAATATAGAATACTAAGAATTTTAATGTGTTCGGTAATACATTCACACAACCGTGAGGTTTCATATACGATATTAACTATTGATACATCTAAACTAATAGCATCTGTACGTGATTACTGACTTTTTAATAATGCAAGTAACTTTGAATGAATTCGTGAATTTTTACATGATTGTGAATTTTTTTTTTTGGTGATGCGCCAACTGTAATCAATTCTATGGGTCAAGAATTTTATCCTTCTCTATGCTCAAGGGAACCGGTGAATATTGCCAACACTTAGGGGTCCACATGATTGGGTCCATTTCAAGTGTTAATCAATATATACCGATGTCGATTTCCATGTCCGATCTAGTGCACAACGAAACAGATTTAGGTAAGTGTTTTGTGGCACGAGTAGTTGCTCGAATTAGCTTTCTTGTTAGATAAAGAGTGATCAAATGATCTGAGGGCACAAAATTGAAACCCAACCGTGGGCTTGGGCCTACCAAAGAATTAAACATCTCCATGTAAGGCCCATTACCTTCCATGCCCATAACCGTTTATTATAGGCATTGGAGAGATGAAACATGTTAAAGAGGAAGAAAATATATGGGTCCAAAACCCATTTATGAACCCATGTTTATTTAAATGGGTCGCTAATGGATCATTCCTTATTTCCCAGATCATCCACAATGGGTTTTAAAGATAAATAGGCCCAAATATATGGGTCATAAATGGGTATAAGTTGTTACCTATAAGGAGCTCGGGCTTTGCCGGCCTCCAGCAAGCTTGTCCTCACCTGTGGCCATCGTCATGGCCAGCCACCGGCCAAAAATAAAGGAAAAAAAAAAGAATAATTAAAAATTAGATTTTTAAAAAATAAAAATTATTAAAATTATTAAAATAAATGCACGAAGTAAAATTAAATCAGATTTTATATACTAAACGTCGGAAAATATTTTCTAATTCATTTTCAGGTTTCAGCCAAATACCTAATTTTTTTTATTTTCTTGGATAATGATTTCATAGAAAATATTTTCTAGAAATATTGCATTTTTTGCGAAACAAACAAAACCTCAATTTAAAAAAAATTATAAAACTTGTTCACTAGCTTTCTATTGTATGAAAATGTTTTAGTAATATAATTTTTAAAAAAAGTCATAAGAAACAAGTTTTCCTAGATTTAGTTAAACATAAAAGTGTTTTAGCAATATGGATCGGATCGGGTATGAATTGGATATGGATTGAGATATTTATATTACAAATAAATAGATTATAAATAAATTAATGAGTCAATTTGAATCGGACTATTTATGACCCGACTCGACCCAATCCGACCTTAACTTTTAAAATATCAAACCATGATATTTACGTAACCTGGCAAGACAAGAAAGAGAACCAGAGAGGTCACGTCAGTTAACTAAAATGCTTTGGACACGTTCCATTTCATCCAGGTCCCATCCATGTGTTTAGCAAAAAAAAAGGTCCCATCCATGTGTATTTACTGTTGCCTTTACTTGAAGTGAGTGGGAGTTCGTAAAGAGTCACCATCTCCACGCATTGTCTTATCCATAAATTGACTATCTATGCCTGCTATGCTCGTGAAGATATACTCCAGATGACATTTTCTCTTTTGCCGGAACTCTTTGGACTTATTTGATAACCGGTCAAATAATGCCTAATTTTATTTTTTTATTTTCGAAAATAAAAAAAAATTTATTTGGTAAATTTTTTGTTCCCGAGCACAAATTTATTTCTAAAATCAGTTTTGAAACAGAATCAAGAATAAAAAATGAAAAATAATTTTTTTTCTTCGTATTCTTTTTTCTTGGCCTGTGGCCGATGGTCGGCGAGGGCAAGGGTTGGACCCTCTTGGCCTGGGCGAGGGCCGCCCTCACCGAACCCTCGCCCAGGCCACGAGGGCGGGCCTCGCCCAAGCCGCAAGCCGCCCTCGCTGGATTTGGCAAGGGCGGCGACGAGGGTCTAGCCCTCGCCCTCGCCGGTGAGAGCCGCGACACCCTCGTTGGCCATGGGCCAAGGAAGGAGAAGAAGAAAAAAAGAAAAGAAAAAAAGGGAAAAAAAAGAAATATTAAAAAATTCAAATATTATTAATAAAAAGAAATTTTGTGTAGTTACCAAACACCTTCAAATACTTAGAAATTATTTCCGGGAATTGAATAAAAAAATCATTTCTGAGCAAAAATTATTTATGTATACAAAATGGTTATCAAACGCACCCTAAAATGATTTCTCTAGATTTCGTGATAACTTTTCTCAAATAAGATTGTACGTGATTGGTTGGTGCAAGTCAAGTAGTATTAAGTCTTGCTTGGCCAAAAAGAAAAGTAAAGACTGTCTAGAAATCGAGGGTCAAGACAGATATTTAAGGTTGGGAATGATAATCATTACATTTCTATTTTCTTGTCCCAGAAACAAGTTTGGAATAAAAATCTGTTTGGTAACGTAATTTTATTTTTCAATTTCTGGAACAAATTTTGATTTCAGAAATAGGTTTGGAACAGAAATGAGAAGTAAAATTTTCTACTTTTCTATTTCTAGAACAAAAATGAGAAATAAAAATTCTTCTCATCGCTCGCCTTTGCTACTAACCGGTCGCTCAGCCACCGCCCATCGCCACCCACTTGCTGATCGCTGCCTACCGCCACCTCCTGCCGCCGGCTGTTGTAGGCCACCGTTCGCTGGCCACAGCCTCCCACCGCCGCCCGCCGTCCGTCGGCCACTGTCTCCAACTACCGCCATTGGGCGTCGCCCGCCTCCAGCCACTGCATGACGCCGACCGCCTCCAACTGCCGTCCTCCGCACTGACCGCGTCCCTGTCCGCCGCCGCCTCTCCCCACCGTTCGTTGCTCGCCGTTCGCTACCACTATTTGCCCTCCTCTCGCCGCCGGTCGTTGCCCGCCTCCCCCCGCTGCTTGACGCCGATCGCCTCTAGCCGTTGTCCTTTGCACTGGCCGCGTTGCAGTCCACCGCCGCCTCCTCCAGCTGTCCGCCGTCCGCAGCCGCCGCCGTTCGCTTGCCAGCCACCCGAGAGAGATAAATTTTGTGCCTTTATCAAACAAAATTTTGTTTCTGGAACAGAAATTTTATGTCGTCATCAAACGTGTTTTTTTGCTCAGAAACTCGTCACGGAACAGAAATAGAAAAATCTATTTATGGCCAGAAATTGATTTCTAAAATAGAATGATTGCCATTTGCAGCCTATGCAGGTGTGAGACTGTATGGTAACACTCCCTATGTAAAAAGGAAAAAAACAAAGGCCCCGGCTAACTAGTCACTATCAAGCAAAATTTTTAAATCATTTTATTCCACAAATCGCTATTAACATTCGGGATCTGGAGTTTGGAAATTACATGACCATTGCTTATGGTAAAATTATTTGCATTTCATCCTCTTCCAAGCTTGAAAGACAGATATTCTTTTTAATATATTTGCTTCTTATGAAAAAATATGCAGTGTCAATAATCTGTATTTTATTTGCAAATTCATATGTTCCGGAAGATTATTTCAATTAATTACGAGCATGCTTCGAATCAATAGAAGTTAGACTACTATTCTCAGTATGACCGAGCTCTCTAATGGCACGCTACAACTCGTCTTAGTAAGAAATTTTGAAGGGCATTTCCCTCTTACTTTATGACCATAAAAATTTTCGATGTTGGATTAACACATGCAACCAAAAAACTTTAACTCTCAAAGTAATTTGCCCACGGGATACAAAATTCAATTTGTTTAAAAAGAGTTACTCGATGAACTGATAATCTCTCTTCTATAATCACAATGCAGAAATATCTCAAAAGGATCTGTTTATTAATTGCCTGAGAAGCAAGATACTCAACCGAGTCTTGGTTACTATAGTATGGAGACGTTGCATGCTACAAAATTGTACTGTGCAACGTTAAAACGCTTGATCATCATTAACGTAGTGTATGATGTTTTAGTTTAAGCACGATTTTGACATGCATTGGTTTCTTGCGATGGCTTCACTGGCAACAGAGTGAGAGGTACTTTTTTGAACACGGTCAGGCCAGCCCCTTCCTCCATGCTCACGTCTCCCTCTTTCATCCCCTCCGGCAGTTCCCAATCGAAAGAGTGCAAGACATTCGCAAGCGCCAACTCGACCACTCCCATCCCCATCGAAATGGCCGGGCAGCCCCTCCGCCCCGCTCCGAACGCTAACAGCTCGAAATGATTCCCCTTGTAATCAATCGGACTGTCCTCGAATCTCTCAGGCACAAACTCCTCTGGGCCCTCCCAGAGGCCTGGGTCCCGCCCCATGCCCCACACGTTGACCTGGACACGGGTCTTCGGGTCGACATCATAGCCGAACAGCTTGAAGTGGCCCATTGTTTCCCTCGGGATAAGTAGTACACTTGGAGGGTGTAGCCTCATTGCCTCCTTGAGTACTAACTTGAGATATTTGAGCTCGTGGAGGTCGTCTTCCACGACCTGTTTTTTGTTTCCAATGCAACTCCGGATCTCCTCTCGAGCTTTTCGCATCACCTTCGGGTTCTTGGCAAGCTCGGCCATTGTCCAGTCCATGATAAGTGCAGCGGTGTCCACTCCAGCTAGAAATATATCCTGAGAGTATACACATGAAGTCATGATTCACAGAAAGGATTAGTACATCAATTTTTCTGTGACACATGATCTACTTTGGGGAAAATGTAAGAGATCCTATGATGTACCATCAAGATGGCCTTGATGTTATCTTCCTTGAACCGAACCCCCGCGAGCTCAGTCTGATCCCTCTCCATCTTCAGCAGCAAATCGACAATGTCCTCCTCTTCTTCGTTGCTCTTATTCACGCCCCGATGCTCGTCGATCACCTGCTGATAGAAAGTATCCAAATTGTGAAAGCTCTGCTCCAACCTCGAATGGAGCCCTGTGAACCTGTCCATGATCCAGCCGAATCTAGGGAAAAAATCGGACACTGAGAAACTTCCCAGCATCGCCAATGCTTCGTGAATCATATGCATTAACCTTCCATTGTCGAACTCCGTCCCCTGAAACACCTTCCCAAATGCGACCCTGCATGTAAGGTGTGCAAACAAGTCAAAGTTACCTGTGAGCGGTTCATGCTTGGCTTTTAGGCTGGACAATCATTGCTTCAATTCTTTTTGTGTTCAAGTCGAGTTTCCTTGGAGGATTGGCTTGAATCAAGTTTGAATCTTGGTAATAGATAAATAATCAGGGTAGCTCGTAAGCCCAATCGAGTCTAATTAAGCATAGCCAGGCTAGGTTCGAAACTAGAAAACATGGTTAAGTTGAACTCGAGTTCAAAGAACCAGGCTCAATATAATGTCAATCCTCAGAATTGAGTCGAGTTCAAGCACTCGATTTATCAACTACACCACTAGGTCCTACCTGCAAGTGACGTTAGCCGTCAGAGCCATGAACTTCTCGCTCATATTAACCGGAGTTCCGCTCTCTGCTGACTTCGCAATCGAATCGATCATAGAACCCACCTCCTCTTCCCTGACAAACCGGAAGGACTGGGCTCGCTTGGCGCTAAACAGCTCCAACACGCACAGCTTCCTCAGCTCCCTCCAATAATCGCCGTACTCGACGAAGGCGATATCAAGGTAGTCATAGGAGAGGCGTCCCGTGCCGACCAGCCGAGGGCGGCTGCAGCAGTTGAGGTCATGGGTCTTGAGGACCTCCCTGGCAGCGGCGGGGGAGGAGACGACGACGGTGGGGATGCCACCGAGGTGCACGAGCATGACGGGGCCGTACTGTCTGGAGAGTTTCCACAGGGATTGGTGAGGCAAGTGGCCGAGCTGGTGGAGGTTGCCTATGATGGGGAGTGGCGGAGGGCCTGGAGGGAGGTTCTTCCTTTTGTCGGTGAATCTTTTCACTGAGAGGAGGCGGAGGAGGAGGAGGGGAGGAAGGAAAAGCGCAAGCCATGTGAAGAGGATGTGAAGAGCCATTGTTGGGAGGGTGATGTGCAGTGAGAATGCTTCCACAGTTGAACTGGTTTTGGGTGGTTAAGTAGTGTGAGGGTCGAGAGTGAAAAGTAATACGAAAGGGGTGCTGAATAATCAGTTGCCGAAATTGACACGAACACCTTTCTCATCTCTTAGGGATGACTTTTCCTTACAAGCCAGAAAGATCAAAATGGTGGACTCTTTAGGGTGGACTCTTTGTGGTCCCCAAAATCGAACCTCAACCGGGTGCTTGGGTATGCAAAAAAACACTAATCATGAATCTCAAACTTTGTCCTTTCCCAACAAAAGAAATGGAGGTTAGGTCACGGGACAAAGGACTAGGATAGCATCAACACCCAAGTGCCGCGTATAAGGACAAATATGATAAGTATGTTTTGTAAGCGATGCAAGCGATCATTTTTAGGTAAATATTTTTCAAATCATTTATTTTTTCCACGAAACAAATCAAGCCTGAAGACAACAAAATGAGTTAAAGGCCCACTTTTTAACTCATATTTAGTGAGTTGAGTTACATGTGGGTTAGTTAAAATATTAAAAACGGTTTGTTATTGGTTCAGAGTAGCAAAACTCAATTAGATAAGGACTATATGGGTTTACAAAAATACATGTTTTCAACCAATTTCTGGCATTTAGGCTGTTGCTCGATGTCAAACGAGTCATCCAGGCTTTTTGCCATGGCAGTATCTCCAACTTTCTTGTGATGAGCGATGATATATATATAATATATATGAGTGATTAACAAATAATATTTTTATCATCCATGAAAATATTTAGACATAAATTATTGTCGGCAATGAAAATAATTTTTATTGGTTAATTATTTTAAGCGATCATATTTAGGAAAATATTTTGTAAATCATTCATTTTTCGCGAAATAAACAGAGCCTTGATTACTTCTCGAATTCTTCGAGGTTTGACAATATATCGAGCCTCGTTCTTTAAACTCGAGCTCGACCTGACCATGAGTTCTACACTCAAACTTGACTATACTCGATTATATTTGATGAGTGTTATGAGCTACCGGATTATTTAGCTATTAACAAGTTTAGACGCGATTCAAGTCAACGCTCCAAACCAAAGCTTGTCCAGCCTGAGAGCCAAGCATGAATCGCTTACAAGAAACTCTGACTTGTATGCACACCTTACATGCAGGGTCGAATTTGGGAAGGCATTTCAGGGGACGGAGTTCAAAGACGGAAGGTTCATGGATATGATTCACGAGGCAGTGGCGATGTCGTGAAGCTCCTCGGCATCTGATTTTTTCCCTCGATTCGGCTGGATTGTGGACAGGTTCACGGGGCTCCATTCGAGATTGGAGAAGAGCTTTCGCAATTTGGACATTTTCTATCAGAAGGTGATCGAAGAGCATCGGAACGAAATTGAGAGCAATGAGGAAGAGGACATAGTCGATTTGCTGTTGAAGATGGAAAGGGATCAGACTGAGCTCCGTTGAAAATTGTGATCCATTTTTCCAATTCTTTAGAATTCTCAATAAGTGTTCAGCTAGCTTACTCAAAAAAGTAAAATGGATTTGTCTAGAATTGTTGAGAAATGGTTGTGGGCCTGTGGCTAGCTGAACCTTGAAGACATGAACGTGAACAACAAGAAGTGTCCAAGTTGAAGAGGACGACCTAAAGTCAAAAATAGTGGGCTGAAGAAAAACATGGACGTGGACAGCATTCCAGAGGAATCCAGATTGAGAATTGTCTAAGAGATGAGGGAGTTCAGAATCCTCTAGGGCGGCTGTAATTAGTCGGTGGAATGCCTATAAAAAGGCCACAACCCATTCAAGTAAAGAGGGGGGAGCATGAACTAAAAGATCATATCACGTGGCCTCTCTATCACAATACCTCCTCCAACTATTATAAAATCATTTTTATCAACTAGTGAAATTATGATTGTCCCATAAACCTTGCCTCTTGTCCATTCCTACGTCCAACTATGCCATACACACATACACTTACACACATCACAAAACACAAACTATCATTGATATCAAACACCATACTTCCGTGCAATTTCAAATTCACATGGTAGGCACGATTGTTTGGTTCTGGTCGTTTGTCCTAACCAAGCAAGAAATCAAAGCCAGGCATGTGAGATGGTTTTGGACGTTCTTCCTCACCATCCTCAACTAAAATCAAGGCCCAAGCTCGAGCGAGAGCCAACAGAGCCAGAGCCGGAGCCAAAGCCATAACTAAAGCCAGAGCTTACGAGAGCCAGAGCCAGGGTCGGAGCCGGAGCCAAAGCCTACGAGAGCTAGAGCCAGAGCCCGAGCCCGAGCCAAAGCTAACAACTACAACTAGAAACAATTTTGATGGCAACATCATTGGAAAAATTGAAAGCAAGTGCTAGAGGTCTAGCAAGAGGATACAAGGTATCGTGAAATGAAGATCGTGAAAAGGCATGGGATAAACTACGAGAAGAATTTCAAGGTATGTCCAAGATACTTAGAAATATGCTTGGAATATCACGAAAATGGATTAAGGGAGAGTGTTGGAAATTGTGATCTATTTTTCCAATTCTTTAGAATTCTCAAGAAGTGTTCAGCTAGCTTAATCAAGAAGTAAAATGGATTTATCTAGAATTGTTGAGAATGGTTGTGGCTAGCTGAACCTTGAAGACATGAACGTGAACAACAAGAAGTGTCCAAGTTGAAAAGGAAGACCTAAAGTCAAAAATAGTGGGCTGAAGAAAAACATGGACGTGGACAGCATTCCAGAGGAATCCAGATTGAGAATTGTCTAAGAGATGAGGGAGTTCAGAATCCTCTAGGGCGGCTGTAATTAGTCGGTGGAAATGCCTATAAAAAGGCCATAACCCATTCAAGTAAAGAGAGGGGAGGACGAACTAAAAGACCATATCATGTGGCTCTTTCATCACAACACCTCCTTCAATTATTGTAAAATCATTTCTATAAACTAGTGAAACTATGCTTGTCCCATAAACCTTGTCCCTTGTCCATTCCTACATCAACTATGCTATGCACACATACACTTGCACACATCACAAAACACAAACTATCATCGATATCAAACATGCTTCCGCACAACCTAAAAATTTTTAACAAGCTCTCAGGGGTCCGGCTCAAGGAAGATAACATCAAGGCCATCTTGATGGTACATCATACAATCTCTACATATTACCTAATGCAGATCATATACACAATTGAGAAGCAAAATATTGCAGGATATAATTCCAGAACTCCTTAAATGAATACTCAATCCTCCTCAGATATAAATGATATCACGGCAAAAATTGATAAACATGTCTTTTTTTGTGAATCATGACTTTATGGTCACTGCTAGGATATATTTCTAGGAGGAGTGGACACCGGTGCAGTTGTCATGGACTGGACAATGGCCGAGCTTGCCATGAACCCAAGGGCGATGCTAAAAGCTTGAGAGCAGATCGGAGTAGCGTTGGAAACAAGAAATGGGCCGTAGAACATGACCTCAGCGAGCCCAAATATCTCAAGTTAGTACTCAAAGAAACGATGAAGCTACACCCTCCACCTGTACTATTCCTTCCAAGGGAAACCATGGGCCACTTCAAGCTATTTGGCTACGATATCGACCCAAAGAGCCGTGTCTAGGTGAATGTATGGGAAATCGGGCAGGACCCGGGAATGTGGGAGCGCCCAGAGGAGTTTGTGCCTAAGAGGTTCGAGGACAGTTTGATCGATTACAAGGGGAATCATTTTGAGCTGTTGCCATTCGGGGCGGGACGGAGGGGATGCCCCGGGATGTCGATGGCGATGATCGAGCTGGCACTCGCCAATGTCTTGCATTCCTTCGATTGGGAATTGCCGGAGGGAATGGCAGAGGGAGATGTAAGTATGGAAGAGGGGACTAACCTAGCCGTGTTCAAGAAAGTGCCTCTCACTCTGTTGCTGATAAAGGCATCTCATGAAACCGATGCATGACGAAATCGTCGTTAAACGAAAACCGTCATATCTCACAGCGTTTTATACTTAATTATGATCAAACGTCGTAAAGTCGTATGGTGCATTGTTCTAGCATACAACATCTCCATAATTATAGTAAATAAGACTCATTGAGTATATTTCTTCTAGGGCAATTAATAAACAGACCCATATGACGAATTTGTGCATTGTGACTATTGAAGAGAGATCATCAGTTGATCGAGTCACTTGTGCATTAACAAATATTATTTGCATCCCATTTGTGCAAATTACTTTGAGAGTTAAAAGTCTTTACTTGGATGGGTTGATTCAACATTGAATGTTTTTTTACCGTAATATTTTTTAATAAGAGGGTGATGCCCCAAGTTGAGATGAGTTATAACGTGTCATTAGAAAGTTCACTCGTTCGAGAATAGTAATATAGCTTTTATTCATTTGAAGCATACTCGTAATTAATTGAAATAATCTCCCAAAACATTGGCACTTTCTAATTAAATCCAGATTTGTTGACCCAACGTATTAGTTGTTCTTTTTCACAAGAAGTAAATGTATTAAAAGAATATCGATCTCTCAAACTTAAAAGAGGATGAACAGCAGATTTTAGTATAAAAATGTTCGTGTAATTCAATGCGACTTCTTGCCTTTTAAGATCCAAACTCCAAATTATGAATTAACACCAGTGAATAGTGATTTGTGGAATCGAAGGAATATAAACTTTTGCTTAATTAGTTGTGACTTATTTGGCAGACTTTATTTGTTATAATACAGTGGGGAGGAACAACCATAACGGCCATTCCTCTTAGAGCTGTTCTTATAATAAGTGATTTCACACCCATTGCGGAATGTTTGATTTGGGTTATAACTCTTCAGTCCATATTTAGGTATAAATCTGTCATTACAGTCTCACCAGTGTGTTAGAAGGTAGGAAGTCTTTCCAAATGAGGTAATAAAGGCTCAAGCCCTTGATTTCTAGTCAAATACTATTCTTTTTGGCCAAACAAAATTAATATTACTTGACTTGCACAAACCAGTGGCGGAAGATCCTGATGGAGAAAATTTGTTACATATTCTATAGAATCTTTAGAGTTCCAGCAACTTTCTTACCATAACCTTCAAGAGCCTCATGTCTCGGTATATATACTATTGCGATATAACAGAAAATCGCCCTAATACAATGCGATTAGTCGATTGCTCTAACAAGATTGGAAATATATAAGTTGTGTAGCATATGTATTATACTTCATGCAACAATGAAATGCCATCTGGAGTTTATCTTCACGAGTATCTAAGATGAGCTTGTGCTCGTGTATTACATTCGAAGTGTTTGAAGTCGTAAAAATCTTGTGTTAAGATTTTGTGTAAAACTTTCGTGGGATTGAGAGACTATTTCGTGAAAAATTATGTGGGCTAAACACCGTGTGAGTTATTGGGTGTAATTGGGGATTAGAAAACACTGAAAGTATCTGAGTGACTCAAATGTGGTTGCAATCTCTATGCTATCGCTTGATTTATAGTGGAATTATGTACTTCTCCCCCAGTGGACAGGGTCACACCTACCAAACTGTGAAAGGAAACAATGACGTGTCCTAATTCAGCTACTATCTCTCCACTACTTGCTCATCATGCAAGATCAATTCTTTCCAAAGAGAAAAAATCACGATGACGTGTCTTAATTCAGCTACAATCTCTCCACCACTTGCTCATCAAGCAAGATCAATTCTTTCCAAAGAGAAGAGATCATGATTGTGTCCCTCATTAATTTTGTAACCCTAACTTGTATTATATGAAGACACCACACCGCATAGCCAAAGTATGTAACAAAAAAATTCTATCACTTAAACACAAAACACTTATTGGCAATTGCCACTCATTCTCATCTTGTTAGTTCATTGCTTTTATATGGTATCAGAGCCATATCTTGCGAAAGCATAAATGGCAAACCAATCAGAGTCAAATTCATCCCCATCTTCCCCAAACGCAGCTGCTCGCAATCAAACAATAAGCAACCCAATCCTAAGTGTTGCTAATCCAACTGACCTCATCAAGAATGCTGTCCCACCATGTCCTCTCATCCATCCCACAGGGGACTCATATGGATCAATCACATGTCCTGTGGTTGGTATCAAATTAACCGGAGACAATTACATCATATGGAAGGCATGCCTCCTCCCCTTTCTCCGGGCCAGTCGACTCCTGTCAATTGTGGACGGAACCGAACCATACCCTCCACACACTATCACTGAAATCAACGAGAATGGTGTCACCAAAAGTTCACCAAATCCAGCATATGAAACATGGTTTACCCGAGATCAAATTGCCTTGGGGTGGATTCTCAATTCCACAGCTGATAACATCGTTGCACAGCTCTCCAATTTAGGCTCTTCAGCAGCCGTGTGGTCTTCTTGGCTTAATCATATGCAGCACATAACAATGCCCGCGCTACACATCTACGAATGCAACTTCAGACTCTCCGCAAGGGAAATCAAACAATCACGGAATATCTACAACAAGCAGCCTTCCTTGTTGATCAACTTGCTTCGATTGGTGAGAACATCTCTTCATAAGAATATCAAACTCACCTGTTCAGGGGACTCGGAGCGGAATATCAAAATTTAGCAGTGTCGATCTCCGTTCAAAGTCAATACCAATCCCTTACACATGAGTCTCTACACGGGCTGCTCTTGGCTCATGAGGCACGACTTGATTTGCTTGAGCCCATCACCTCCCTTCTAGCAGCGTTCATGATGCGGACAGCACACCAAGCACCTCAACAGCTTCCTTCTTGCGTGGACAGGTCACCACGACCTGGGCAACAATTTCCGCAAAGTGGACAGCACTTTGGCCCACGAAATTCAGCCCCAAATTACTCACCAAATGCAAGCAATTACATAAATCAAAGGAGGGGCAGCGTTCAATGTCAACTCTGCAATCGCTTTGGCCACCGAGCCAACGTGTGCCGTGATCGTGGGCCTCCACCACAATCTTTATGCTCGGCACCACAGCTCCACATTGCTGAAATTCCACCACCACCGTCAGTCTTTTTAGACCCGTGGTATCCAGATTCCGGTACCACACACCACGTCACAAATAATCCATCTCAATTGTCCTATCTTCAGCCCTACACAGGCAACCAACATGTTACCATAGGTAATGGGTCTAGCCTCCCCATAACCCATACAGGTACTCTTGTTTCTCAAAATTTTCGTTTGTCTAATGGCCTAATTGTTCCCTCTATAAAGAAAAACTTACTTTCCGTTCGTCAATTTTCACAGGAAAACAATTGTGATTTCATTTTCTCACCTAATTGTTTTTCTGTGAAGTGCCGCCGTACGGGCAAGATTCTCTTCCAAGGGAACCTTAATCGGGGACTCTATCAACTGTCTGATCAGTCCGAGCTTTCTCCTTTAGCTTATTACCTATCTCAGTTCAGCTCCCTTGTCCGTTGGCACCATCATTTAGGTCATGCTGCATATTCTACTATTTCTCGCATGTTAAATAAGTCGTCAGTTGTTCAACCAACTTGCTCGGCATGTGCATCTAGTAAGAGTCATCCTCATCCTCCCACTTTTCATAGATCCAAGGCTCCCCTAGAATTGGTTCATTTTGACATTTGGGGGCCGGCTCCTGTAACGTCTCATCAAAACAATAACTATTATGTTTGTTTTATTGATGATTACTCCAAATTTTCTTGGCTTTATGTGTTCAACTCTCTTGATCAATTTTTACATATCTTCGTGGTCTTTCTAAATTTTGTTCAAAACCAGCTCAATACCCAAGTTAAAGCCATATAAAGTGACTGTGCCGGAGAATTTCTTTCTGCACCTTTTAAAGGAGCGTGGCATTTATAAACGGACATCCTGTCCTCGCCTAGCCCTTCAAAATGGTTCGGCCGAGCGCAAACATAGACATGTCGTTGAAATGGGTCTGACCATGATGCACCATGCGTCTGTTCCCTCTTAATTTTGGGATTTTTCTTTTGAAAGTGCAATTCACATTATCAACTGACTGCCTACTCCCGTTCTACAGCAGCGCAGTCCCTGGGAAGTACTCTTTTCTACCGCACCATCCATTGAGCATCTTCGGGTTTTTGGCTGCGCTGTGTACTCGAACCTACGACCCTATGCCAATCACAAACTGGAGCCCAGGTCACATCGATGTAGTTTCTTGGGATATTCCTCAGGTGTCAAGGGCTATCGCTGCTTTTCTCCACAACAACGAAGGTTCTATACAGTTGCAGACGCCATCTTTGATGAGACTGTTTTTCCGTTTGCTAGTCCCATCACCGACGTATCATCAATTGTGTCCCCACCAGCATCATTGGAGTTACCCCCTTTATGTTCCCCCACTGACGCATTAGCAACGGACGGTCAACCCATCCAGCACAGAGGTCGAATTCAAAAGCTTAGGCAACACAACTGTTGAACTCATTCGGATCGAGGCTCTCCTACGCGATCTCGGTGTCTCTTGGCAAGGCCCTCCGGTTCTTTGGTGTGACAACATCTCAACCATCTATATGACAGGGAATCCCATCTTTCATGCTTGGACAAAGCACGTGGAAATTGATTACCACTTTGTGCGAGAATGAATCGCCAAAAATCAATTGCATGTTCAGTACATCTCCACTATCGATCAACCTGCCGATATCTTCACCAAAGGGCTCTCCACGGCTCGCTTTTGACTTCTACAGTCCAAGCTTACTGTTTGTTCCGCCACATCAGCTTGTGGGGGGTGTCAAAGGAAACGATGGCGTGTCCTGATTCAGCTACAGTCTCTCCACCACTTGCTCATCAAGCAAGATCAATTCTTTCCAAAGAGAAGAGATCGTGATTGCGTCCCTCATCAATTATGTAACCCTAGCTTGTATTATCTAAAGACACCACATTGCATAGCCGAAGTATGTAACAAAGAAATTCTATCACTAAAACACAAAACACTTATTGGCAATTGCCACCCATTCTCGTCTTGTTAGTTCATTGCTTTTACACAAACCACATAAATCCAGTTGTTCGATTTATTTCCTTGTTCTATCTATTTTATTGTTCAATCACTTGACAACACCTTGCAAGCAATATACTCAATTGAGTCTTGGATACTATATGTATGGAAATTTTGTCTGCTATAAAATAGAACTGGGCAACATTCGGACGCTTCATCACAATTAACGCGGTGTATGATGTTTTTGTTGTCATTCATTGATTTAATGCGATGGCTTAACCGGCAATAGAATGAGAGGCAATTTCTTGAACACGGTCAGGCCAGCCCCTTCCTCCATGCTCACATCTTCCTCTGTCATCCCCTCTGGCAATTCCCAGTCGAAAGAGTGCAAGAAATTGGCGAGCGCTAGCTCGACTACTGCCATCCCCATCGAAATCGCCGGGCATCCTCTCCGTCCCGCCCCAAAAGTCAACAGTTCAAAATGATTCCCTTTGTAATCGATCGGACTGTCCTCGAACCTCTCGGGCACAAACTCCTCTGGGCCCTCCCACAGGCTTGGGTCCCGCCCGATGCCCCACACATTGACCTGGACACGGGTCTTCGGGTCGACATTGTAGCCAAACAGCTTGAAGTGGTCCACTGTTTCCCTCGGGAGGAGGAGTACACTTGGAGGGTGTAACCTCATTGCCTCTTTGAGTACTAACTTGAGATATTTGAGCTCGTGGAGGTCGTCTTCCACGATCCATTTCTTGTTTCCAACACAACTCCGGATCTCCGCTCGAGCTTTTCGCATCACCCTCGGGTTCCTGGCGAGCTCGGCCATTGTCCAGTCCATGACAAGTGCACTGCTGTTCACTCCAGCTATAAATATATCCTGAGAGCGTACATGAAGTCATGATTCACAAAAAGGACATGTACATCAATTTTGCCGAGACGCTTTTATATTCAAGAAGAGGACCGAGTATTCATTTAAGAAGTTCTTGAATTGTATCCTGCCATCTATAGACATTCAAGTTTGCTTCTCTATTATGTATATGATCTACTTTGGGGAATATGTAAGAGATTGCATGGTGTACCATCAAGATGGCCTTGATGTTATCTTCCTTGAGCCGGACCCCCGCGAGCACAGTCTGATCCCTCTCCATCTTCAGCAGCAAATCGACAATGTCCTCCTCTTCCTCGTTGCTCTTATTTGCATTGCGATGCTCGTCAATCACCTTCTGATAGATAACATCCAAATTGCGAAAGCTCTTCTCCAATCTCGAATGGAGCCCCGTGAACCTGTCCACGATCCAGCCGAATCGAGGGAAAAAATCGGATGCCGAGAAGCTTCCCAGCATTGCCAAGGCTTCATGAATCATATGCACTAACCTTCCATCGTCGAATTCCGTCGCCTGAAACGCCTTCCCAAATGCGACCCTGCATGTAAGATGTGTAAACAAGTCAAGTTACTTGTGAGTAGTTCATGCCTGGCTCTCAGGCTGGACAAGCTTTGCTTCAATTCTTTTCGAGTTTGAGTCAAGTTTCCTAGTTGGAGAATTTGCTTGAATCAAGTTTGAACTTGGTAATAGATAAATAATTTGGGTAGCTCGTAATCCCAATCGAGTCTAATCAAGTACAGTCAAGTTCGAACCTAGAAAATATGGGCAAGTCGAACTCGAGTTTAAATAACCTGGCTCAATAAATTGTCAAATCTCAAAGAGTAGAGTGGAGTTCAAGCAGTAAGTCGACTTGACTCATCAACTAGGCCCTACCTGCAAGTGATGTTAGCTGTCAGAGCCATAAACTTCTCGCTCATATTGACCGGAGTTCTGTTCTCTGCTGACTCCGTGATCAACTCAATCATAGAACCCACCTCCTCTTCCCTGACGTATCGGAAGGACTGGGCTCGCTTGGCGCTAAACAGCTCAAGCACGACCAGCTTCCTCAGCTCCCTCCAGTAATCGCCGTACTCGACGAAGGCAATATCAAGGTAGTCATAGGAGAGGCGTCCCGTGCCAACCAGCCGAGGGCGGCTGCAGCATTCAAGGTCATGGGTCTTGAGGACCTCCCCGGCGGCGCTGGGGGAGGAGACGATGACAGTGGGGATGCCACCAAGGTGGATGAGCATGACGGGGCCATACTGTCTAGAAAGTTTCCACAAAGACTGGTGAGGCAAGTGGCCGAGCTGGTGGAGGTTGCCTATGATGGGGAGTGACGGAGGCCCCGGAGGGAGGTTCTTCTTCTCCTCCTTCATCGTCGTAGTCGTAGTCGACGTGGTGGCTTGGTTTTTCTTTCTGAAATTTTTCACCGAGAGGAGGAGGAGGAGGAGAGGAAGGGAAAGAGCAAGCCATGTCAAGAGGATGTGAAGAGCCATTGTTGGGATGGCGATGTGCAGTGAGGATGCTTTACAATGTTGAGTAAGTTTGGGGTAGCTAAGTAGTGTGAGGGGAGAGAGTTAAAATTAACACAAAAGGGATGCAGAAGAATCAGTTGCCGAAATTGACATGAATGCCTTTCTGATCTCTGAGGGATGACTTTTTCTATATCCCAAAAGATCGAAATGGTGACTCTTTTGGGTGGAGAAGAAATTGGTGCAGTTCACCTAACATTCCAGGTGAAAGTTACACTTCAGATTTGATTAATCTACCCTTTGGCTGTTAGTTGATAGTATGATTGCTTTGATATCATGTTGACGTCAAAAAGATATTGATCTTCAATTGTAATCTATCGCTCCATCCAATTGATTGAAGTTGTTTCAACATCATCAGCTACCAAGGGGCCTCGAAAAGTAAAGGCCATATGCATCGGTCACGTTTGACTTCTCAAATCATATAAAGAAAACCTAAAAACATCAATGATCTCCAAATTTTATTGAGAAAATTCCAATAAAGCACGTTGCTTTGATAATGAGTAATTGTCAAATAATGGACAGGAAAGATTATTGAAAAGGGTCGACGTATGTCTCATCTCTATCTTATTTTATAGGGATATGTACACTAGAAATCTTAAAACTTGTCACAAAAGTGCAATTGAGTCTTAAAACTTGCAAAAGGTGCAATCGAGTCCTAAAATTTGTCAAATTGATTCAATCGAGTCCTAAAGTTAACGCCGTCTAATTTACTAACGGAAAATACTGATGTAGCGCTAACATGTCTTATTATTACTTTTCTTGATACATATGGCGATGATGTGGTGTCCAACAAACGCTACGTTAGAAAAATATTAAAAAATACATATTAAATTAGAAAAAAATTTTAAAAAAGGAAGAAGAAGACCCCACCCAGTGGCTGTGGTGGTGGCCAAGCCCTCGCCGGTGACCGCCGCCATAGCCGCCACAAAGGGTTGACGAAGGTCACCTAGGCCTTCCTGAAGCCCGACGACCCTCACTGGCCCCTAGCAAGCCCCCAGCGAGGGTCTGCAACCCCCGATCTGGGGGAGGGCGCGACCTTCGCCCCAGATCTGAGCGAGGGTTGCCGGCCCTCGCTCAGATCTGGGGCGACGGTCGCGCCCTCCCCTAGATTGGGGGCTGCAGGCCCTCATCGGCGGCTCGCCTGGGGCCGGCGAGGGTCACCGAGCTTCGAGAAGGCCTAGGTGACCTCCGCCAACCCTTTCCAGCAGCTGTGGCGACAGCCACCGGCGAGGGCTTGGCCATCGCAACAGCTGCTGGTTGGGGTTTTTTTTAATTTTTTTCTAATTTAATTTATATATTTTTAATTTTTTTCTGACGTGGCGCTTATTGAACGCCACGTCATCACCACGTGTCTTAAGAAAAATAATAAACAAAACACATCAGCATTTTTCTTTAGTAAATTAGACGGCATTAACTTTAGGACTCGATTGAACCAATTTGACAAGTTTTAAGATTCGATTGCACCTTTTGCGACTCAATTGCACTTTTGTCATAAGTTTTAGGATTTCTAGTGCACATATCCCTATTTTATAAATATCGTCGAGTGAATGGATTATTTCCAACACGCAACAATCTAAACTCATGCTATCCCAACTCGATTTGCATTACAAATAAAATAGTGGCTGGATCGAAGGAAGGTTTGCATCATCATTGCACCCATCTTTCTAAATAAAATTAAGGAAAATAAAATTCGCTATAAATTCACATTTGCATCTTCTCTTCAATTCACAGGGAATTTTATTTTTTTTCTCCGTCATGCCTATTATTGGGCGTGATCAATGGAGGAACATCCGCGTCATTCTCATCTTCATCGTTCTAGTTCCGCATTTGCCAGCCACCCCATCACCATCTTTCTATCGGACCGGACAAACATATAGGAAGTGATGGTTCTTTCCTCTCCATTTTCACTAAATTTTTTTATACTTGTCTTTATTATAACTTTGTTATATTAAACACAATTACAATTTATCACACAAAGTATGTTATAATTATAATCGAATACTATATTGACTGACCGTTCTTAAAAATTAATTATAATTATTAAAATTATTTAATATTGATCATATTATTAATCAACTATAATATATTAACTATAATTTGAAATCATTTTTTTATTAAGTATAATTTAGAATTATGGATTATATAGAAATGAGGAATGGAATTAAGGAGAAATTACGATTCCATCAAAGAGTGGAAAGGCCCGTTCCATCATGTACACCAACCAAACCAGTGTAAGGGCGTGTTATCTACGCTCATAGGGATGAAACCTACTTAAAATGAATTCTATGGAGATCATTGACTATTATTAAAATAAAAAAAGGTGTAATGGCATTGAAACCCGTCTCATTATTCTTTTTTTTTCAAATGATCCCTATGCTTTTAAAAAGCATCATTATATTGCAAAATTGCATATCCTAAGCAAAGCTACTGTTGGCGTCGCTGCACGGCCATGGCGCAATGATCGCACCCTTTAGGTGACCCCGCCACGGTGGTCGCACGACTCAACGACCACCATCGTGGTGGTCGCTTGAAATTTCTATGCATTGCTGCTAGATTTGAGACACCAGCACGATGGTTATAGTTGACGGACGACACATTGCGATAGTGGTAAACCTTGGCAGAGAAGCAACGACGGCTTCCTTGCAACTGAGATTAGATCGAGGATCTCGATTTGCTCTAACCACCGCAACAAACGCAATGACCACCAACACAGTGGTCGCCACAGACAGGTGACATATACAATTTGTTAATGCACAAGTGACTCAACTGATAATCTCTCGTCTCTTCTATAGTCAAATCACAAATTCCTCAAAATGGTCTGTTTATTTATTGCCGTAGAATCAACATACTCGACTATGTCTCGGTTATTATACACAAGGAGATGTTGTGTTCTACAAATTTGTTATGTGCAACATTCAGACGCTTGATCATAATTAAGATCGTGTCTGGTGTTTTTGTTCAACGATGACTTTGTCATGCATCGATTTCATGCGATGGCTTAACTGGCAACAGTGTGAGAGGCACTTTCTTGAATACGGTCAGGCCAGCCCCTTCCTCCATGCTCACATCTCTCTCTGTCATCCCCTCCGGTAATTCCCAGTTGAAGAAGTGCAAGACACTGGCAAGTGCCAGCTCGACCACTGCCATTCCCATCGAAATCCCTGGCCACCCTCCCCCCCGCCCCGTACGTCAACAACTCAAAATGATTCCCCTTGTAATCGATCGGACTGTCCTCAAACCTCTCGGGCACAAACTCCTCCGGGCTCTCCCACAGGCTCGGGTCCCGCCCGATGCCCCACACGTTGACCTGCACACGGGTCTTCGGGTCGACATCGTAGCCAAACAGCTTGAAGTGGCCCATTGTTTCTCTCGGGATGAGGAGTACGCTTGGAGGGTGTAGCCTCATTACCTCCTTGAGTACTAATTTGAGATATTTGAGCCCGTGAAGGTCGTCTTCCACAACATATTTCTTGTTTCCAACGCAACTCCGGATCTCCTCTCGAGCTTTTCACATCACCCTCGGGTTCCTGGCGAGCTCGGCCATTGTCCGGTCCATGACAAGTGCACTGGTGTCCACTCCAGCTAGAAATATATCCCGATAGTGTACATGAAGTCATAATTCACAAAAAAAGACAAGTACATCAATTTTACCGTGGTGCTTTTATATTCGAGAGACCGACTATTCACTTTAGAAGTTCTTAAATTGGATCCTGCCCTTTACAGACACTCAAGTTTGTTTCTCAATTGTGTATATGATCTAGATCTGCTTGGGGAATATGTAAGAGATTGTATGATGTACCATCAAGATGGCCTTGATGTTATCTTCCTTGAGCCGAACTGCTGCAAGTTCAGTCTGATCCCTCTCCATCTTCAGCAGCAAATCGACAATGTCCTCCTCTTCCTCATTGCTCTTATTTGCGTTCCGATGCTCGCCAATCACCTTTTTATAGAAAACGTCCAAATTGTGAAAGCTCTTCTCCAACCTCGAATGAAGCCCTGTGAACCTGTCCACTATCCAGCCGAATCGAGGGAAAAAATCAGACGCCGAGAAGCTTCCTAGCATCGCCAATGCTTCGTGAATCATATGCAATAAGCTTCCATCGTCAAATTCCGGCCCCTGAAATGCCTTCCCAAATGCGACCCTGCATGTAAGGTGTGCAAACAAGTCGAGTTACTTGGGAGCGGTTCATGCTTGGCTCTGAGGCTAGACAAGCTTTGCTTCAATTCTTTTCAGAGTTTGGGTCGGATTTCCTAGTTGGAGCAATGGCTTGAATCAAATTTGAACTTGGTAACAGCTAAATAACTTGGGTAGCACGTAAACCCAATCGAGTCTAATCAACTATAGTCAAGTTCGAACCTAGAAAACATGACGAGTTGAACTCAAGTTCAAAGAACCAGGCTCACTATATTGTCAAACTTTGAAGAATCGAGTCAATTTCAAGCAGTAACTTAGTCGACTTGACTCGACTCAACTCATCAACTACATCACTAGTTCCTACCTGCAAGTGATGTTAGCCGTCAAAGCCATAAACTTCTCGCTCATATTGACCGGAGTTCCACAATGTGCTGACTTTGCAATTGATTCAATCATAGAACCCACCTCCTCTTCCCTTACGTAATGGAAGGACCGAGCTTGCTTGGTGCTAAACAGCTCAAGCACGCACAGCTTCCTCAGCTCCCTCCAGTAATCGCCATATTCCACGAAGGATATATCAAGGTAGTCATAAGAGAGGCGTCCTGTGCCGACCAGCCGAGGGCGGCTGCAGCAGTTGAGGTCGTGGGTCTTGAGGACCTCCCTAGCGGCACTAGGGGAAGAGACGATGACAGTGGGTACCCCGCCGAAATGGATGAGCATGACAGAGCCATACCGTCTAGACAGTTCCCACAGAGACTGATGAGGCAAGTGGCCGAGCTGGTGGAGATTGCCTATGATGGGGAGTGGTGGAGGCCCTGGAGGGGGGTTATTCTTCTGCTCCTTCGTAGTCGTGGTCGTTGTGGCGGCTTGTCTTTTGTTGTTGAAGTTTTTGACTGAGAGGAGGAGGAGGAGGAGGGGAAGAAGGGAAAGAGCAAGCCATGTGAAGAGGATGTGAACGGTCATTGTTGAAATGGTGATGTGCGG